AAAAAATGGAAATAAAGTCTTTGTAAATAGGGAAGGGTGGAGGGTGTGAAGGGAGGGCTAGGAATGGGGAAAAAATAAGAACCAAGATGCGTTATATAAAGGTACAATTCCCAATGAGAAATGTAATTGTGTTGTATACGTACAACGTACCAATAAAAGAATTTAATACAAAAAAAACCCCACTTTCCTTTCTCATAAATGAGAAGCAACTCATTTATTAAAGTTTTATTATGATATCCATCAAGTCAGTCACATCTTCAGGTTCCACTTCTACTTCTGGTTCCCTTGCTATTTCTGCCAATCTGCAGTTACTTCTTCCACTGAAGTCTTGATCCCTCAAAGTCATCCATAAGGGTTAGAACTAACTTCTTCCAAATGCCTATTAATATTGATATTTGGGGCTCCTCTCAGCAGTACTGGGGACTGAACCCAAGGCCCCACACTGAGCTTTGAGACAGAATTGTGTTCAGTTGCCCAGGCTAGCCTCAGGCTTATCATTTCCCTGCCTCAGCCTCACAAGTACCTGGTACTAAAGGCACTCTTCCACCCTACCTGGCCATAAATGTTCTTAATGGCATCTAGAATGGAGACTTCTTTACAGAAGTTTTACATTTATTTTTCCCAAATCCATTAGAGGAATTACCATCTATGGCAGCTATAACCTTATAAAATAAATCTCTTCAATAATAAGACTTGAAAGTTGAAATTACTTCTTGATTCATGGTCTTCCAAATGGCTGTTGTGTTAGCAGGCATACAAACAACTATAATCTCACTGGAAAGCTCCCTCAGAGATCTTTGGTGACTAGGTACATTGTTGATGAACAGTAATGTTTTGAGAGGAATCTTTTTTTCCCCTCTGAGCAATATTACTCAATAGTGGGCTTTAAATATTCAGTATACCATATAAAGACATATACTGTAATTCCAGTTTGGTTATTCCATTTATAGAGTACAGGAAGTCTAGATTTAGTATAAATCTTAAGAGTCCTAGAATTTTTGGAACAATATGTGGGCATTGGCTTCAACTTCAAATGCTCAGCTACATTAGTACCTAACAAGAGAATCAGTCTGTCCTTTGAGGCTTTGAAGCCAGGCATTGACTTCTCCTCCCTAGCTATGAAAGTCTTATATGCCATTTTCCAATAGAAGGCTGTTTCACTTATATTGAAAATGTATTAAGTGTAGCCTCTTTCATATTTATTTTAGCTAGATCGCCTAGATAACCTGTTGTAGCGTCTACACTCACACTTACTGCTTCCCTTTGCACTTTTATGTTACAAAGACAGATTCTTCCCTAAACCTCATGAATAATCTGTGCTATCTTCAAAATCTTCTCATGTAGCTTCTATATCTCTCAGCCTTCGTAAAACTGAAGTGAGTTAGGCCTTGCTCCAGATTTTCTGTGACTTAAGAGAATGTTGTAGCTGGTTTAAGCTTCTATCTAGACCACTAAAACTTTTGCCATATCAACATTAAGGCAGTTTTGCTTTCTTATCATCCATGTGCTCACTGCAAAAGCACTTTTAATTTCCCTTGATAATTTTTTGTTTGTATTCACAGCTTGGCTGTTTGGCAAAAAGATCTAGCTCCTAACATGTTGTCCTCACTGTTTGTAGCTAAAGACTTCCGGGAGCCATTCCACTCTTCCTTTCACTAGGACACTTGTAGGTCATTGCAGGGCTATCAGTTGGCATAATTTTAAGATCATGTGTCTAAAGGAACAGGGAGGTCTAAGGAGGAGAGAGAGACAGGGGACCAATCAGTGGGTGGAACAATCAGAATACACATTTACTGAATAATTTTGCTATCTTACATGGACAGGCTTTGTAACACCTCAAAACAACTACAAACTTCAAAAATCACTGATAACAGACCACCACAACAGATATAATAATGAAAATCTCTGAAATATTGTGAAAATTACCAAATGCCACAGAGATGTGAAGTGAGCACTTTGAAAACTCATGGCTATAGACTTCAACACAAGGTTGCCACAAATTTATAAAAGGTTGCCTTCAATTTATAAAATGCATATCTGCAAAATACTACAAAATAAAGCACAATATCTTGTTCTATGCCTATAATATACTGCATTTGTGATCAGTAGCCTGTTCATTAGTGGACTACATCATTAAGAATTTGGTATTTTGAATATCAGAAATAAACCACGAAGCTCTGTTTTAACTACTTTTTTCAATTTAATTGAATGGCTGTTTAATTCAATGTTACCATAAAATTTGGCAGTAGTTAATATATTAACTATATAGCATAAGTATAGTTATATAGAGTAACTACAGAGATGAAGAAAGTACATAATTAAATAGTAACTTCATTTTTATTACAGAAAGAAGCAATTTAAAAATTCAGTATTTTTAGTCATTATATTGGCAGAAATTTTTAAGATCAATAACATTCAGTGCTGATTTAACTAAAAGGAAAATGGATATTCTTATGCTGGTGGTGTTAACATATAATCCTACTTCTGGCAATTTTACTTCATATAATTTCCTAGTAGTAAATATAACTATGAAGATGTTCATCACAATATTGTTTTGTAATGAAAAATACTGGAAATGCATGAGTAACAATCAAGGGGTTAAGAATATATTTATTATAGTCATGCTATGTGACACTGTGTGTTAAAAAACAATGAGGCAGATTTGTAGGCACTGACTTCTTTCAGAATAACATCAAACATTGTCATGAAATCTTACATGCACACTCACCTCCAATTTTTAGCACCACTTTCCTTGTGATCTGTCTAATTGCTGTTCCCACATAGCAGACATAAATTCCTTCATCCAGAAGACTTAATCTTCTAAAATACAGAGAGGCATTCCCATTTTGAATCTTGCTATGGAAGAGAGATGTCCTGTTTGCAAATTTGGGATCTTGTTTTTCCAAATGGTCACTTCCTTTGTAGTAACTGTGAACATTGTAGTTATCTTGATTCTTCCAGTGAATTACAACATCAGGCTCATTGTCAAATGAGCAAGGGAGAATTATATCTTCATTACATCTTCCAATGACAATTTGATCATTCATACTACTAATATGATTGAATAAAACTGAAAAAAATGTATCTAAAATCAAGAGCAGAGATGTTATGAATGAGTGATGGGTACCTATTGAACATTATATCACAATTACCTAAATTCTTAGATAAGCAGTCTGATCATTAACAGATCTGGATTTCTAATCATTAGAAATAAGACATAAAGCTCTGTGTTTGAGTTTCTTCCATTGTAATTGAATATCTTTTGGATTCAATGTAACTGTCAGAATTGGCAAAGGTCCAAAACAGATACGCTAGCTTGCTACAACTTGAACAATAATTTCTCTCCTCCCATGCTGCAGTACTAGACAATATGTATATAAAAGACTCCTGTTGGTTTTCAGTCAGAGACATTCATTTTACAACTATTGTAACAACTAGTTTATGGGGTAAGTTATAGCCAGAAGGCCCCAAAAGAATGACAAACTTAGCTTAATTGGATCAGAAAATATTTGGCTATGAAATATATGTGGGAAAAAATGCTAGTTCAATAATCTGTTAGAAATATCTAGATGCTAGTCTCAAGCAGGGGAGTATATGGCAGGAAAGAAAGAAATGAATTTAGGATCACTCACTAGATAGCCTATAAGTCACTCAAAGCAAGAGTTAAAAAATATTCTGGATAGAAATGTGGAAATTGCTTTTGTTGTAAATTGCTTTTGTTTTGTTATAAATGCTTTTGTTGTTGTTTTACTGTCAATTTTAGAAGTTAATTTCAAAAACCAAATGAATTCAACGTGATTAGGATTTTTGCAAAGAAAACATACCTGGTCACTTCATATCAGTGAAAACAACTAGCTTCTTTGACCAATTCAGAAAATACATTAAGTAGATATTTTGTTTCTCTTAGACTTAAAGAAATTAAGATGGGAAAGGTCCTTGTTTTATAGAAAAGTGAGTAAACTCCTTCAGACCTTGGCCAAGGCCACCCAGGATGGAAGAATAGCATACTCATGTGGCTCTGCCAGTCTTTTACCTCTGCCTGCCCTTCTGGGGCTCTTTCAACCCTGCCATGTCCCTCCCCTCTCCCTCAGAGATATTTAATTTCTCTGCAGAGATCTAAAAGGATGTGTATTTTAATGAAAGGAATACATGGAAAGATGAGAAAGAAAGCAGTGATTATCAACCTCCCTAATTGTCTACCATACCCCTGTAATATTTCTTTGGATAATTAAAAATGACTATCACAGGACTTAACAAAGCTGATAATATCTTCTATTAGGTGCTAGGTACCAAGTTTCCACTTGAAAAATCAAATTTACCTTTCTTGTGATTTTATTTCATATAGCATAGAATAGAAAGACCTTTAATCAGAATGAACAGAAGAAAATATAATTTCTAATCTTTATGCAGACTTCCAGCCTGTTCCCTATTTCTCATGAACTGATCATTTAGGAAAGTTCACAATGCTACTGCTACAGAGAAATACAGCTGGGTATTCCTTATCTGAAGTGCTTGGGACTGGAAGTGTTTTATATTTTACATCTACTCAGAGATGTGACCCAAGTCTAGTCCAAGCATGAAATCATTTATGTTTCATATACACCTTATATACATAGTCTGAAAGTAACTTTATGCAATATTTTTAATTCACTTGCATTTTGACTGATCTGTCACTTGAGGTCAAGTGTGGGGTTTTCCACTGGGGTCACCATGGTAGCACTCAAAAATGTCTGGATTTTGGAGCATTTTGAATTGTGGATGTGCTATCTGTAGCCACTTTGTATTTTATGCTCTTGTTCTTATCTAATGATAAAAATAACTAACTCTTTCATTATAAAAGAAATTACCTTGAAATCCACAAAGAGACTGTATGAAAATGAGGAGGAAAGACAGCACTGCTTGTTCCTTCATGTCTTATGGAGGTCATAGTATACTGTCAAAGCGAAGAAAAGAATGCATGTTACAGATTTGAAATGCAAAAGAAGCTGAAAAAGAATTATACTGTCTGAGTCCAGGAGATTAAACTATTGTACATTCACACAATTATCATATAGCCATTCAACATGATATTGTAAAAGTTCAATGGTATGGAAGTTCTTATAGGAGAGAAGTCAGATTACAATACAATTTTAAATAGCACAGTCCATTTTGCAAAGGAACACACATTTTTTCATGTAGGACATGAACAGGATCTATCACTAAATATGTACTAGGGTGTTAACTCCAAGAGTATGTTTTACATCTGGAGCAGTTCCTGCCACGTGATAGGTGCAGAAAAATAGCTGCTGAATGAATGGATTTGCAGACAAAGTAAATTTTGAACAAAAACTAAGATAGACAAAGAAGGCACTACACATCCTTGTAAATGGAACAATCCAAGAGGAAGAGATAACAATCATAAATATATATGTACCAAATACGAATGCCAACTATACAAAACAAATATTAATGGACATGAAAAACCAAATAAGCACTAATACAATTGTAGTGGGGGACCTCAATACCCCACTGTCACAAATAGATCATCTAGACAAAAAAATCAACAATGGAATACTAGAACTGAACCAAGCTTTTGAACAAATGGACTTAATAGACATCTTCAGAGTGTTCTAACCCATAAAATCAGAATATACATTCTTTTCAGCTGCACACAGGTCATTCTCCAAAATAGACCACATGCTAGCTTATAGAACATGTTTAAGTAAATGCAAAGGAACTGAAGTTATCCCCTGTATATTACAGGCCATAGTGCAATTAAACTGCAGATCAATAGTGTAAGAAACCACAAGAACTCCACAAACACTTGGAAATTGAATAACACTCTCCTGAACAACCAATGGGTCACAAAGGAAATTAAAGAAGAAATTAGGAAGTTTCTGTAATTAAATGATAATGCCAATACAACATACAGGAATCTATGGTACACAATGAAACCAGTCTTATGAGGGAAATTCATAGTAGTGAATGCCTATGCTAGGAAAAGAGAGTGAGCTCAAATAACCTAATGCTGAACCTTAAGCTCCTAGAAAAAGAAGAGCAAGACAGACCCAAAGCTCATACAAGGGAGAAAATTATAAAGATCAGAGCAGAAATCAATGCAATGGTGACTAAGACAATGATACCAAAAAATCAACGAATTAAAGAGTTGGTTTTTCAAAAGAATAAAATCGATAAACCTTAAGCCAATTTTATCAAAAAAGGAAAGAAAAGGCTCAAATCCATGCAATTAGGAAAAAAAAAAAGTGAAGTCACAACAGATCCAGCAGAAATCCAGAGGATCATCAATACCTACTTTGAGAACCTGTATTCTAATAAAATGGAAAACACAGAAATGGACAGATACATATAAATTACCAAAGTGAAATGAAGATATAGAAATTCTAAATACCCCAATTATGTTCAGTGAAATTGAAAACATAATTAAAAATTTACCAACAAAGAAAACCCCAGGTCCTGAGGGCTTCACTGCTGAATTCTACAAGACATTTAGAGTAGAACTATTGCCACTATTTTTTAAATTCTTAAATTAAATTGAAAAGGAGTCAATACTTCCAAATTCATTCCTGGAAGCATGTGTTACTTTGATTCTAAAACCAGGGAAAGACTCAACCAAAAAAGAGAACCACAGGCCAATCTCCCTAATAAACATAGATGCAAAAATCCTCAATAAGATACTGGCAAACAGAATACAGAGGGTCATCAAGAAGATCATAAACCCTGACTAAGTCAGATTTATCCCAGGGATGAAAGGATGGTTCAACATAGGTAAATCAATAAATGTAATACACTATATTAACAGAGCCAAGAACAAAATCCATACGATCATCTCAATGGATGCAGAAAAAGCATTCAACAAAATTCAACACCCATTCCTGATGAAAACCCTGAAAAAAATTGGAATAGATGGTCTTTATGTCAACCTGATAAAGGCTATCTATGAAAAACCAATAGCCAATATCATACTAAATGGTCAAAAACTGAAAACCTTCATGCTAAAATCAGGAACAAGGCAAGGATGTCCACTATTGCCACTCCTGTTCAATATAGTTCTGGAAACATTACCCACAGCAATTAGAAAAAAAGAAATAAAAGGACTAAAGATAGGAAAGGAAGAAGTTAAATTGTCACTATTTGCTGATGATATAATACTCTACCATCAAAGACCCAAAAGACTTCTAGACTTAATTGACAGATTTAGTAGAGTAACTGGATACAAGGTCAACACTCAAAAATCAGTAGCCTCATACACAAATAACAGAGTCACGGAAAGAGAAATTAGGCAAACAATCCCTTTCAAAATACCATCCAAAAGAATTAATCTAGCAAAGGAAGCAAAAGACCTCTACATTGAGAACTACAACACTGAAAAAAGAGATTGAAGAGGTTGTAAGAAAATGGAAAGACATCTTCTGTTCTGGGTAGGAAGAACCAATATAGTGAAAAAGGCCATACTTCCAAAACTGCTATACAGTTTCAACACAACCCCAATTGAAATCCCAACTGTATATTTCACAAAACTACAGAAAACAATCCAAAAATTCATTTGGAACCAGAAGAGACCTAGAATAGCAAAAGCAATTCTAGGCAACACAGACATGGCCAGGGGGTATCACAATCCCCAATTTGAAACTATACTACAAAGCCACTGTGATGAAAACAGCATGGTACTGACAAAAAAAAACAGACCTCAGGATCAGTGGAATATATTAGAAGATGCAGAAATAACTCCAGACATACTCAGCTGCCTCATCTTTGACAAAGGAGCCAACCATCCTCACTGGAGGAAAGATAACCTCTTTAACAAATGGTGTTGGAAAAACTGGATTTCAACTTGCCAAAGAATAAAACTAGACCCCTATCTCTCATCACTCACTAAACTAAAATCAAAGTGGATTAAAGATCTAAATATTCAACTTGCTGTAAGATAAGTTATGTAGAACTCTCAAAGACTTTGGCATAGGAAAAGACTTTATGAACAAATCCTCAGTAGCACAGGAACTATCACAAAGAATCAACCATGGGGATCATCCTATTAAAAACTTCTGCCCTGCAAGAGAAACCACCAACAGAACTAAGAGACAGCCCACAATGTGGGAAAAAATTTTCACCTGCTGTTCCTCAGACAAAGGTCTA